CTTGAGCAATAAATCTGTAAGAATCGAGAATTCCATTGTAATAATGTATTTTCATTCAGCTGCTACATTACAACACAAGAATGGAGGATTACTGCAGTAGGCCTACTAGCCCATGCAAGGCAGGTCCTTCTTAGAACCAACCATTCCCATCCACCCACTTGTTCAGCCTTTTCCCCAAGCTACAGGCCTTGTGGCCGCCCATCCTAGGCAGTTCTCAAATCCAAACATTCCTCTCCACTCCACATCTATGTCCAACATATGCCCAAAGGTACCAAAGAAGTTAGCTTCAGTTTTCATGATACGCATAACATAATCAAGCCCAAACCTTCTCACTGATATATTGGTCTAACCTATTTTTAAAGCTCTCCAAGGTTTTAGCTTCTATAACAATATTGTTTATTGTATCCTTACAAAATGGTTTGTTGACTGTCTTTTTCATCGGTCTCTCATTTAGTTTCCTTTACCATTCTGGTGTCTCGTGTAACTTGGGGTATCAGGTAAAATCCATAGAATAAAACCTTGCAAGACAATAATGGAAAAACTCTGAGACTTACCTCACCCTGTGCAGTGCTGTTTCCATTTTCAACAGTGCTGTTTCCGTTTGTCGCTACCGGTTCGTCATTTACTTGACGTACTTGGCTGTCATCATGCCATTTGGCCTCGGTGCTTTCCACCTTCATCAGGTATACATAGAGAAGCACCAGTAAGCACATAGACCTCATGGTGGTGAAGTTTCGCTGATGATGCCTGTTTACACTATCGTAGCGCTTGTGGGTCCTGGGTGATAGTCACCAGAAAGGTGCGTCTTTTGCCGCACGCCTGTTGTCGTTGTGTGAGACTGACGAATTCTGATCAGACACCTGTGAGATATATATATATATATATATATATATATACAGTATATATATAGATATATATAATTTAAAATAGACCATTATTTCGCAGAAACACCTGTTGAAAGGTGAATGAACTCAATCTGCCACATCATTTTTCTATATTTTAAAATTTATTTATTTCCAACGGATAGCAATCATTTGTTGTTTTAAAATGGAACTCTCCTCCCAGAACATTCACCCGTGCTGCCTCCTCTTAAGGGCCTTGAGCTGATTCATTTTTACGTTTTTTATTCACGACATTTAGGTATATTTTCAGTGTGCAGCTTTCATATTTTAGATGAGTTCTCAGACAAAGTAATGAAATCTATTTACCAAGGATGAGACTTCAGTAAAGCGATAAAAACATCGTTAAGCAGTCGATAAATGAGACACTTCAGCAATACTTGGGTATCTATATTCCGGAAACGTTTCGCCAGCCAGTGACTTCATCAGTCCAGTATTGAGAAGAAACGGAGAACGATGAGATGGAGTTTGAAGTAACCGATTATATAATAATCGTTAAGCAGTGTTTGTGTGACTTCTGTCTTACAAACACTCCATGGAGATAGTTGGTATAAAATACCCACACGATGGAAAAAGAGACATAAAAGAATTTCGTTATACTGCATGATCATTAAGATATATGCGACAGTTACGTATCTATATTGTTGAAAGGTTTCGCCTACACAGTAGGCTTCTTCAGTCAGATACAGAGGCAGTAGATGTAGTAGTGAAATGAAGAAATATTATTTAATGTGGTTAGGCCCTCAGCCTGGAGAAGAGTTCAGCTCCATGGTCTGTAACGATATGAAGCTTCAGCTTCATGTCGCTCATTCCATTTTCAACATCATGCTGCATATGTGTTTTTTTTTTTCAAACACAGTCCATGTAGGAACATCTCGTCGTTGTCTTTGGTTTAACCCAGGGATGGCAATCAGTAAATATATAATTATATTATTTTTAAAGGGGTGGACATTTAAGCCAGCGGAAGGCCTCGGTCAGATGACCAAACCTCCAAAGGCGGGTCATCATCTGACTAAGACCCACGTCAGAAAATGCTTGTCCTGTTTCCTGACGAACCTTACCTAACCTAACCCAGGGATGGCCAACCTATGGCTCATGCGCCAAAAGTGGTGTATTGCATGATTAGAAGTGGCGCATTGCACCCAGTGATAATAATGAAAAAGTAAGCTTGATCATACAAAAAGTATTAACTAATAACTGATTTGTAGAAAAAAATTATAACAGAAATTCAAGTAAGTTATAGCTAGAAATAGTTTTACTGAGAATAAATCTAGAGTTTAGCAATCATATTTTGTGATTTTATTAAGTTGTACACATCTTTTAGCGAATGTCATCTTCTTTCACATTAATCTGTTTTCAGTTTAAAAGAAACTCAGTAAGACTAAGAATAAATTACATTGAACACCTATACTGCATTTATCAGTTTCTATATATTCATTGCACATAGTGCTCTGCCCTTATCAGGGACATTGCACAAAGAGAGATTTTTGTACAGGAGTCGTTCCATAACTGTGCATGTTTGATACTTCATCTTGAGGCACCAGACACCAGAAGTGGCTGCGGTGCATGGCACGTTTTTACCAGTCAATTTATAACTGATACTCGTGTGGTGGAGTTGTGCGTTGCTGTTTGTGAACAATTGAAGTTTTGTTCTTTTCGAAACTTAAGTTTTGTTTTTACAGGTAGTTAACCATCATAGTGCAAAAAAAAAAAATGAAACAAAAGAAAAGCAGAAAGTGATAGAAAACATCAGTTTAATGAACAGTGGGAAAATAAGTTCTTATTTACTGCGGGTTCGTCAGGAAAACCGTTGTGAATTGTTTGTGAAAATACTCTCTCAGATAATAGAAGATAATAGACACTCTAAAACATCATGCTGAAATAAAAGAAAAACTGAAGTTAGTACTTGGGTTTGAGTTATGGAAAGAGTGTGATTAAGAAAAAGGTGTTTGTACTGACGGAACACCAATGATAGGTAAAACAGCCGGGACTGTAACTTTTCTTGAAATCTTTCTAGGTCGTCCTCTACTAAAATATCATTGCATTATACACCAAAAGTCACCGTGGAAAAACTTTAAATTTTCTTCCAGTAGGCGAAGAGACCCATATCAATCCATTTATATTTTAAATTGGTTTGCTAGATTAGGTTTATAGCCTAATTACAGATAATGAAGAAACATTTTGCTATTTGTTCTCGCACTGTAAAATTTAAAGAAGTGCTATCGAGAAAAATATTAATTTAAACAGTGATACAAAGAGTGTCTGTCAGGTGGGAAATATTGGGTAAGGAGTATCGGCTTCAAAATGAAAGGAATGTAGAGGAAGATCTGGAGGAGGATGGTGGATGGATGGAAGTAGAAGGGTTGCGGCCTACCTGAAGGACGTGGAGATTGAGTTTGGTGGGGGATGGAACAGATGAAGAATGAGTTCTAGCTCCTGGGATCTCCTCTCAGGGTCCACGCTCCCTCATCCCTTTAATACATTAACGCTGGGAAATTTTGGCTTTCCTATGATAAATGATATAGACGTGGCAGGTGCTGTCTGCCACACTCTATTAAGTCAGGTCATCATCTTGCTCTGACATTACTCCTACAAATATTGTCATTCACTGAGTTAAGCTTTAGTTCCTGGGTCAAAATGGTTCACTGAGGCTCTAGGACTTGTTCATCGATTCATGGCATATTCTTTTCGTATACAACACTTCAGTGATAGATGATCTCCAGCTCTTGGTTCTGTAGACGGAGGTTTTGGTTTCCTTCATATATAATTCAGTAATCATGCCTTAGAGATTTATCTCTTATATAATTTT